ATTTGTGATGGACTACTTTTCTTTTTTAACAATATTGAGTTAAAAAGAAGGAATGCCAGATAGTGGTAATTGAGTGGGCAATTTAGGCTTGAGAGTAGGGTATGTTTTTAGGATTCGCTTGTGGAGCGTATTTATAGGTAAGAAGGAAGTATTCAACAGATAGTCAAAAAGTAAAGGTTTTGACATAAGTATATTTTCTAATTTATATTTGTATTATTATCAAAGTGATACATTTAAAAAAAAATCAAATAGTACCGTAGAGTATCAACAGCTAAGTCAGTGACCATTGCCTCTCCTGTTCCAGCACTGACACTCCAGAAACAGACCCTCCTTTCAACTGGTTCTCTCCGGTATTATAAACAGCAATATGGGTTAATTTATCATTTTAAACATTATCTGTCAACTTCATGTTATAACAGTTGTGGGTTTAACATTTTTTCCTTCTTATATCCAAATGTCTTTATATATTCTTATCACTGTTTTTCATTGACTCGATAATTAGTATTTACATTATATGATTATATAAATGTTTACCTCGGAGCCAGGTCATTCTGTATGATTGTATTTCCTCCCTTACTCTACTCCCTTACCCCAGAGCCAATGATTATTTTTCTTTCTGACTCACCCAGTTTGCTATTTCCATGTACTTAATTCCTTATAGATGCTCTATTAACTCTGGCATGCCCACCTAGCCTTTCCCCCAAATGCCTCTCATATCAAATGTTCCACCAAGGCTCCTTTGTGCCTTGAAGACCCCTTTCCTGCTGCTTTCCACCCTCCCGTGTAGCACGGCCAGCTTGGCGCTCTCAGCCCGCTGTGGAGCTGGTATCCCATGACTTTTGTTCAGTGGTCTCTGAAGCTGGGCCCCTGGATCCTGGATCCTGTGTCTTTCTTTCTTAATTTTCTCTTGCAGTAGCTTTGTAGGAAAAGCTGCCAGGGAAGTAGCTCCTCTGAGATTTTGTATATCTGAAAATGCTTTTATTCTATGCTCACATGTGATTTACAGAATGGCTAGTATCACAGTTGAAATTTTCTTTTGGAACTTTGCAGGCATTGTTGTTTTCTTTTAAAACCCAGTTTTGCTGCTAAGAAGTCTTAGGCCATTCTAACTATATGTTTTGTATATGATATGTTTTTTTGTTCTTTGTGGAACTTCTCAAGTAATTTTCTTTATCCATAATGCTTAGAAATGTTGTGAACTTATATTTTGATGTGGGTCTTTCCTTGTGCTGAGTACGTGGTGTGCTCTTTCAATAAGGAGAAATGTTTCTTTTTATTTTCTTGCATTATTTCATTGATAATTGCCTACCTTTTGTTTGTTTTTTGTTTTGTTTTGTTTGCTTATTTACTTTGCCCTGTTCTTTTTTCCTGGATCTTGTTCAATCAAGTGTTGGACTGCCTGGATTGATCCTTTGTCAGTAATATTTTTCTCCCCTAGTTTCCATTTCTCATTTTCTGTGTTGGTTCATTTCTATTGTTTTATTTTTCTGGGAGTTTTCCTTAATTTTAACCTTCTAAACATTCTTTTTTGTTTTCTAAAAATGTGTGGATATTATATATTTTTTATTTCTAAAAGCAGTTCCTTGATCATTGACCTATTCCTCAGCATCTTGTTTTTGTTTTATGTGTTCAGTGTCTTCTGATATCTCTCCAAGGACATTAATTAGGATGTTTTTTCTAGTTATTCTTTCTTCTAATTGTGTTTCTGATTAATGTTTTGTTTTTGCATTTTCTTTTGCTCTCTCAAGATCTGTTTCCTTTGGGTTCATTTCTTCTCTTTGTCTACTTCACATTCTTTTTCACTTGGGAGTTTTCTGGAAGTAACTGAGGATTCTGGGTTCTGACTGAGGCAATAGCAAAGTCCTCGGGCTCTGAGATGGCTGGTGGAGCTTACTGACCAGCTCACTTCACTTCAAGATGAGCCAGAGGGGAAGTTGCTACTTTGCAGGATGACATGCAAATGACAGTATATGGAGAATTCGTTTTTCTTTGGGAGGGGCTTTCATTCTCCAGGGATAGTCCCCCAACATTACTTACTCTATGAACATCAGGCATTCTTTTTCCTGGGAGTGAAGAGCAATCAATAGGCAAGACTTGATGGTTCTGCGTTTTGAATTTAAAATAACCTTCAAGTCATTTTAGACCAGTACGTCACTCTACTCTTTGCCATGTCTGGACCCTCTCCTTGATTATGTGGGGGCAAATCTGTTTCTCACTTATCCCGATCTCCTTCCAAATACATTTTGATCTGTGGTTTCCTCTGACCCACTTACCTGTAACCTCTTCTCAATCTGCTCACATTTTCCAGAAATCTGTTGAAACTTCCCACCCATTCTATCCACTAACGTGTTCTCCCATTTTCTTTTCAGCCATATGGACATACACTTTATTTCAAATTATTTTGCTATCATTACAATAGTCTCAGGAGGAAAAGGACATAAAACTTGTATAGCAATAACCAGAAGTTATAGCCTTTCCTTTCATAAGTGTTCGTGATGAAGCTTCCCATGGTTGGCAGAAAAGGAGAAAGAGGCTCTGACAGAAGGGCCCTGTTTTGACTCTGGTCATTTTCATTTCTAATCTCTGCCGATGCACTCACCAGGGCAGTAGTTCTGGAACATGGAGGCAGTTAAACCGGCCCTAACCAGCAGTTTTCCAAAGACTGCCAAAGAGCCAGCAAGAAAACCCGAGGGCTCACAGGAGTTATGGGTAGAAACTCAGTGGCTCTGCCAGCATAATATTCCATTTGTTCTTCAAGCCACTGGCAAACCTTTTACTCATCCTTTTATTTTGAAACTGAATCATATATATCCCTCCATATCAAAGAATCTCATTTTTTTAACTTGGCATAGGCATTACACAAAATCCCTGAAGTTATAATATCATGAAAAGTAAGGATGGTTATGGCTATAGTGGAAGAATTGATAGAGCTGTAACCTTGAGGTCTTGGCTGAGACCTTTAGTATGACATTGGGGAGGTGCCGGCAGCTGGAGAAGAGAACATTATGAATTGAATATTTTAAGTGAAATTTGCCCATATGTACCAGACTTATGTTTAGGTTGACAAAAGAAACTTTCCACATGGAGTTATTTCTAGGTTCCAAAAGTGTGAAATTCACATTGTTGCTCTACTGATGCCTCAACTCTGATAGTGTAGAAGGCACCCTTTAGGTTTCATAAACGGTTTATAAGCTGTGATCTTTTGCTATTAATGGAGTTTAAACCAAGAAAGAGTTGGTTACTTTATGCCATTTTAAAATTTAAGGTTGAAATGATAAAGAACACTTATCAGGTAAGCTAACAATGGAAAAGCAAAACAAAAACAGTGGAAAAGTTAGCTTCTAGGACTCAGTTTCTTAAAAGGCTAAGACTAATACCATTTCTGAAATAAAGATCATCTTCTGAGTAACAACTCACTTTATTACTCTGCTACCCTCCTGGAACTCATAATGTTTAGAGGAGACCAAAAACCTGATGATAATGTATTAGGGCATGATTTACACACAGTAAGAGAGGAATATAGAGAAGTATCAGAGTGGAGCACAAGCTTTTCAGCCAACCAGGACCAGGGCTTGAATCCTGGCTCTGTCATGTAATACATTTATAATCTTGGACAGATCTTGAGAAATCAGAACTCTGTGTGTATTAAAGAAAACCCAATTAGGTAACCCTCAAGAACTTATGGGAGAGGCAGATGGATAAATCATTAAGAACAAAGGGTGATGATTGCTAAGGCAGAGGAATGGACAGGGTGCTATGGGACAGAGAAAGGGGCACCCAAATCAGATGAGAGGTCAGCAAAATCGCACCACGATGTGAGCTTTGGAAGACCAAGAGGGTGCAGGCACAGGGATTTCAGGCAGAAGCCAGGCCTTAGAAAGGCATGTACATGTTCAAGGCTTGGACGACCTCTTATACACAATGCGAGTCTGGTTTTCAAATCAGGATTCTAGATAAAGCACTGAGTTACAGTGTGGGGGATGGATAGAGGCAGATGACACTTGCAGTGGGGAGATCGGTGAGTAAACAAGTACTCTAGTTGAGAAAGGGAATAATGAATATACAGGGTTCCAGGTAAAGATAAAGAGATGAGGCTACAGAGAACAACGTGTCCCAGTTTGCTGGAGATTGTACTGCTTTTTCTTAAAAACTGGAAGTCCCACATCCCAGGAAATCCTTCAAACCCTAGCAGAGCTGGATGTTTGTTTGGCTTGGGCTTATTTGAGGCGTTTGAAGGTGGGAGGGAATTGGCTGGGAATGCTGATTCTAGTGATGGCCAGGAGGTAAAATCTCTAAGATCCATAATTAGTTGATATTAGAAGGGAAGGGACAGAAAGCGTGACGTTGAAGGCACTAATGAGGATTCTAATTTGGTTGCTGGAGAAGCTAGTTGTGCCGTCATTCCAGAGAGACTGAATCACTGCATGTAAATTCTTTCAGATCAAGGGCTCTACCTCTATAGTCTACCATTAGTCCATTTTTTGTGCGTAAGTATTTATCATGGCAGAGTCCTCTCTAACTTCCTTAATTTTGATTGATTTGCAGTTTGGATCTGAAAAAAACAGTATTAAACAAATCAAGCTTTAGTGGTGCTATCTTTTGTTGGTCTAATCAAATGAAAATATCTAGCCAATATCCAGGTGGAGGCAGTTTATTTACCCAAAGAACAGGTATTGATGTTTCTAATTTTTAGGTTTTCCTTAGTAGGAATGACTAAGTTTTATAATCTTTCTCTCAGAAACAGTATGTTTGTATTAAACATCTCATGACCTCTGGTGACTTGCTGGATTTGATTCTCGAAACATGTCAAAAATAAATAAATTTCAGGCTACCATTCTTATGAAATAAATTTTAAATGATGCCAATTAGAAAAAGCCAGGGGAGAAATAAAAATAGCTAGTCAGCTCAATTTAAAATTTTTGACTGGATATTTGATATTTATGTTATTTTTCTTATTCTCTGGATAATGGATAACATTCCTTGATTCTTTTCCAAACCAGCTTGATTGTTCAAGCCACAGATAAAGGGGTGCCCAGGCTTTCTGGAACAAGTGTGATCAAGATACAAGTGATTGATATAAATGACAATGCCCCAGCTTTTCTCCCCTCTGAAGCAGTGGAAATTGCAGAAAGTAAGTATGGCCTTTTGGAATTCTCCCTTTTATTAACTTGTATAATATCATCTAACATTTTTTCATTCAGGTGCTATATTAAAAATTAGTACTAACCCTCAACAACCACGCAACATAGACAGTTTGTATCTTCATTTTAGACTAGAAAACGAATGGCCAAAAGTTAAGTATCAAATGTCAAAGAAGTTAAATGTTAAAGCTGGAATTTGCACTCAGGTCAACGTGAGATCAATTTCCCATGCTCAAGCTAAACTACCATTCCACACAGCTTCTTTTTGTGTACAGACATTTCTGAAAAATGAAGAAGCATATTTTGTTGACTGTGACAATCCAGCCTATAGCTCCTCTGAGAAGCAGCAATGTTCCCAGACTGATATTTTTGGCAGTCTTTGCAGTTTAGTAATGACAAGTCACAAGTGAAGTGAATTGGATATTCATCACACAAAGTCATCACTTTCCTCTAGTGGAAACTAAACTTCAACATTTGCAGAAAGTTTTACCATGTTAATGGTAAAATTTTACATAATATGGTAATTCATCTTAATTGTTTGGCTCTCTGGGCTATATGATGATTCCACAGTCCATGACCCCAGAGTTTTCTGGGGTCAATGTCTGTACTGCTAAAACCCAATGCAATTCTTCCTAGTTGAGTTTGCAAATAGTGGTATTCCCTCCCTTGCCTTTCCTTTTACTCTTACTACCCAAATTATTCCTAAAATTCCTAACACTCTGTTATGTTCATGTTCCAAACAAATTGTAATCACTACTGCTCACAGGCAATAATATATTTCAGAAATATATTTGTAGGCAAAATATTCTATATATTATAAAATATTTTGTAAATAAGAAATTTTCCAGTTCTTCTCACCTATTTGATGCATTTGTATTTGATTTTACAAGAGGTACTCTTCTTAAGCGCATGGTTTGGTGTCAAAATGCAGCAATGTACCCAGTATAAGTATATCTCAAGAACAAATGGCTTAAATCAGAGCATACTGAATGGGGCAAGATGTGGTCAATATACATCAAGAATATTCAAGCTTTACATAGGAACATTATGATTCTCGTATATAGCAGAACTATTCTGAGTATCTTGGTATCTTCTTTCTACCTGCCCCATACCTGTAAGCTTAAAAACAAAGTCCCTTTCATGTAAGGTTAGGCTGGAGAACAGGTATGGTGTGTTAGACATTTAGCATGTCATCTATCTTATAACTTTTCTGGTGATTAATATTAGAGATTTGCTTTTATCACTAGTATGGTATATGCTTTGTCTTTCTATAGTTTTATAATTTTGAGAGTCAGAGTTTAAGAGAAGGAAGTAGGGTATGGACCACTCCAAAAGAAAATATTTTACAAAAATAAGTACAGGGAACTATTTCTAACTTGAGGATAAAAATATTTTCATTTAAATCGTGCCTACTATTCAGAGTTTTATGCTTTGCGTTAATGTTCTGAGTCATAACCTTCTTTCCATCCCTATCCCCAGTGAATATATGATTTTGAAACAGAAATTATGTAGTACAAATACTTGGCTTAGAATGTTTCTTGGTCCTGGAATTGTGCTGTAAATATATGTTGAAAAACACAATATAAAAATTAAATACTCCTCAATTCCCTACTCACTGGTAAATTTTCACTTTTACTGGGCTCATAAATACTTCAGAGTTTTGTTCAGCTCATAATGAGCTTTGGATGAGAAATCGTGCCAAGAAACAGCAAATCATGCTGGACTTAAAAATGGTTGGATTGAACTATTAAAGAAAAGTATTTCAAAAGATGAATTTTAATAGAGGCTGACATTGGTCGTGACTATTTCAGATTCTTTGCCTGGTGTCATTGTGACTCAGATATCAGTTCATGATGTGGATGTGAACCCATCTTTCATCTTCAATTTCGTCAAAGAGAGTAATCCTGGCTCCAAGTTTGCTATTGATCCAAACACTGGAGTAGTGGTGCTTGTGAAGCCTTTGGATTTTGAAGAAGCTGCTGAATATGAGCTGCTCATCCAAATTTCTGATACAGTCCACCACACAGAGGGAACACTCATCATCCGCGTGCTGGATGTCAATGATAACCCACCAGTATTTTCTCAAGATTCTTACCAGGTAAAATTCTTAAAGAGATGCTGAAACCTCAGCCAACCTTGGAAAAACAGGGAAGAGTGTAAGACCCCCATTGTTGACAGACTTATTTAGGCAGACAGTATGCACTGTTTTTAGTGCCCAAGTTGATGCTGAGAGTTTTATATTTAATATCACAGAGGCTATAAGCACATATGGAATTGAGTAATAGCTCATTTACTTCAGTTTGTATGTCATCATGTTTTTAGTTTGTAGGGATTGGAGTATAGTTGTTCCTAAAAATTAGAACTGGCCTAACATTTGCAAAACCACAGATAAGACAATAAGGTAGTTTGGATTATCTGTAGTTAATTTGGGAAAACTTTTTCTTTCCTAGACATACTTTTGGAATATATTGATTAACATTTGGCAGAAACAAACCATGAACAAAACTGCAAGGTGGAAATTTTTGTTTTGAGAGGATAGCATATGTTTACAGAAGTAAGGGCAATGATAACATTTCAACTAAGTGCTTAGAAATGGGCTCCAGGACCTTTGAATGTAGCAAATGCGAGGCTTAAGTGTAAACACAGGATGGGATAGAAACTAAACCAAGCAATGGTCTTCTGTGAAGCTTGCTAAATCATACAATACACATAATGTAATAATGCAGTAGTGAATGTGTTAACTGCCCTCTACCACATGGAAATAACTGAGAGGGAAATTGTTTCCTAACAAAAAATCAAAACAACAAGATTTTAAAAATCTTTCTGTTTTTCTAAATTCTGGGACTAGAACACAATCTTCTTAATACATCAACACTGTAAATTAATATGTCTAATAAAGTCAGCTTCTCTGTGTATTTTCCATAATCAGAATGACCAAACTGGCCTCATGCTCTGGCTCCATTCATGAAACTATCTGCAGTCTTAAGCACCGTGTTCATGTCTGTCTTTGTCCCTGCAGGCCGCTGTTCCTGAATTGGTACCTATCGGGAGCTCTGTGCTGACTGTGGCAGCCACAGACCAAGAAAGCAATGATAACATTTCTTACAGAATCCTTTCGTCTTCTAAGGAATTTTCAATTGATCCTATGAATGGTGAGTTATATATACTGGGTTTAGTGTTCATAGACTGGAGTTACTGGATGGAAGCTTGAAATAAACCTTTCCAAATGCTCCTAAGTACCCTCTGACCCTCACCCCCAGTGTTAGAGATACCACCTTCTCATTTCTCTTCAAATCAAATGCTGTGGCAGCAACTCTCAGTAGTATTTCTCTTCTCCGACATCTCAGTGGCTGGAAAGCAAAAGGAATCGATTAACATGATGGCAAATGCAGAGAAGCTCAAGGACCCCAATACAGTAAACACCCAGTTCATCAGGCCAGCCAAACACAGTTCAGGGAATTATCCCAGACCTCAACAAGAATGAAAATGAAGTCGAAGGGATTGATTTAGTACTGAGAACTTCATGTTACCAGAATGTGGAAGCTTTTTTCCCAAGCCAAGAACAATAAGTTCAGGAATAGAATACATAACACATTCAATGAGGACCAAAAAAATTGAAGAAGGAGAATTATTTGAACATCTCCACTAAGTAAAAATCATTGTGGTGTTCTGGTTTATTTGATGCCCTCCAAGGCTCTCTGTATCTTTATCAGAGAGCAAGAGATCTGTGATTGTGTAATGCATTCAGGCAAGTGATTGCAGATTAGAACAGCTGAGAATTGCATAAAGTTTAACAATGAATAGACATTAAAAGCTAAATTTGATAAAGGTGAATAATTAACCCAACACTATCCCTATCAGAGCACATTCTAGAAGAGAACATGGATTGGGATATATTACACTGTGTCCACACACCATAGTGTCATTTCATAGTGAGGGCTGGTTTAAAAATTAACCTCAGAATGATGGATGTTAACTAGACAATTATGGTGACCATTTTACAAAAGAGCGAATATATTAATATATTAAATAATTATATCATACACCTGAAACTAATATGTCAATTACACCTCAACAAAAAAGTTAACCTTAGGATTACCTGAAAGGAGAAATTAATCACAAAATACTGATAGCCACTGAGTGTTGTAAACAGCCTGTGGATAAATGGGTACTTATGGATACCATATGGCAGGAATTTGGCTTTCTTTTTCTTCTCTCTTTTTCCCCCTCTTTTTGCAGGCAAGGGGATGGCCTCATCTGCTGTCAGTCTAGCCTCAGCAAATCACAGGGTGTGAGGTGGTTCCTCTGAGCACTGTCCTAGCAACTTTTGCTTGACATGTGTTACCAACAGACTGACAGGAGATACTAATCAGAATATTTTTAAAACATTAAATGTTATTAGATCAGTTTAGTTCATGATGGGACTCTAACTGAAATGTGACATTTAAATGACAACATTCTGTATTCTTTTTAGTGACTATACTTTAAAAACAGAGTTAGCTTAGAAAAAAATGTTACATGCACACATTAAAAATGAGTATTTCTACACTTAAAACAATAAAGTGTATTAAATGCATTTCATTAATAAGGGAAAAATCTACTTACTGAATTAACCAAAAGCTTTAGGAAGGACATCTCTATAATTAAGCAACAGTTGTTATCTCTGCACTGTCACATTGATCAGTTTCATTTGACTAGAGTGAGTCGACCTCTATTACCAGAACCAGTATCTCCATGCTAGAATGTCTGTATATATGTGTCAATTGGTAGTGGAATGGGCATAAATTTTTCAAATAGGAGTACATTTTCTTAAAAAATATAGAAAGAGAACAATTTAGTTACTATACAAAAGTAAAATTAAGAGAAACGTGCAGCAAAGTCATTTTCAAGCAGTACATATATGTAATAGAGTGAATGCCCTGAGTATTATTTCTGGATCTTAAATATAAAAATAATAGAACTATAAAAATTTTCATATTCTGTCTGGAGTTATTCTTGGTTGTGACTTAAATAACAAATCTGATGAGTGAGTAACCACATTAGTAAATATTTGATACATATTTGCCGACTAAATGGATCATGGGAATTTAATTCCACAACATTGAAATGCTATGTGTTGTTTTCCAGGCACAATATTTACTATCAACCCAATATTACTTCTGGATGAAAAATCGACAGTTCGATTTCTTGTTGAAGCCAGCGATGGTGGAATTCCTGACCTGAAGGCTCTTACCTTAGTAGAAGTAGAAATACAAGATATGAACAATTATGCCCCTGAATTTGCAGTAGAATCCTATAATCTTAGCTTGAGTGAAGATGCACAAGTTGGAGGCACGCTTGTCACATTTTCAACCACTGACCGTGACTGGACCCGTGAAAACACACATGCTGAATATTCCATCATCAGTGGTAATGCACAGAACAATTTCCATGTGGAAACTAGTTTCATTCCTTCACAGTATCCTTATAAGCAGATTGGTTATCTGGTGTTGCTTCACAGTCTGGACAGAGAAGCAGCTGCCAGTCACAAGCTTGTAATTCTGGCCTCTGACCATGGCTGCCCTCCACTGAGTACCACAGCCATGGTATCAATAGAAGTACTTGATGTCAATGATAATCCGCCTGAATTCGACCATCTGAAATATCACACCCATGTGAAGGAAAGTACCCCCATCGGGAGTCACATTGCTGTGGTCTCAGCAACCGACCGTGATGTGGGTTCACATGCAGAAATCATCTACCACATAATCTCTGGAAACGAGAAGGGACATTTTCACTTAGAAGAAAACACTGGTGTGATTTATTTGGTTAAACCTCTGGATTATGAAGAAACTATACAATTCACTTTAACTATCCAAGCTTCAGATGAAGAAAGGAAACATTTTTCTTTGGCACTTGTCCTTGTCAATGTCCTAGATGATAATGACCACGCACCTCAGTTTATCTTCTCAAGCTTGAATTGTGTTGTTCCTGAAAATTTGCCAATTTTCTCCACCGTATGTTCTGTAAATGCTTTGGATTTTGATGCGGGTCCTTACAGAGAATTGACTTATTCTATTTTATCACCCTGTTCTGTCACTCCTGGGGTGCTTCAAGATCATGATCTCTTCCTCATTGACCCTTTAACAGGAGACATTCATGCTAAGCAAGTCATTGACTATGAAAATGGCAGTAAATACTGCCTCACCGTTCAGGCAAAAGACAAAGGTGACTCAACTGCCTCCTTAATGGTTTGGGTGGATATTGAGGGGATAGATGAGTTTGAACCCATTTTCACTCAAGATCAATATTTTTTCAGCCTCCCAGAAAAGATTAACCTAAGACAGTTGATTGGCAGAGTGGAAGCATCAGACGCAGACTCTGGTATTGATGGAGTTATTGTTTACTCCCTTGATACTCCATCTCCTTTCTTTTCAGTAAATAAGACCAATGGAAATATTTATTTGGCTAGAGCCCTCCCCCTAATAAAAAGTCAAGTCAGCAAAGAAGACACCATTGAAATGAAAATAATCGCTCACAGCCCCAAACCAGACTCCAAGTTTACATCTTGCACTGTTTTTGTGAATGTGTCATTTCCCTCAGAAGGAAAACACTCAGCAGTGTCAGGTAGCGACTTGTCAACCAGCCTCATGGTCTCCTTTTTAGTGTTTCTGTTACTCATTGTTGTTCTAGTTGTACTGATTTTAAGATATAAACAAAAAGGTGCAGTAAACAACTATGAAGAAAAGAAAACATCTGCATCCTTAGACATCAGCCTGCAACTGAACAGGGACACGAGCATGCCCGAGCCCTTCCTGAAAACCAGCGAGTGCAGTAATGAGGTGGTGCCCATGGACTCCTTGCCTGAATGGCTGAGTTTGATCAGTATCATGGAGAAAGACATTGTGAATCTGTACAGGCACTCAAACTCCAGTGGCCACTGTTCTGTGGAAGGAGAAACTGCTGAAGATAAGGAAATCCAGAGGATAAATGAGCATCCTTGCAGGAAGGACTCTAGCTCCGCTCTGAGTGATCGGGAATCCAGGGTGCCAGATTCCGGCATCCCAAGGTACTCAGACCAACTGTCCTGCCTGTCTGGAGAAACCGATGTGGTGGTCCCTGCCGAAATAGCAGAAGCCAGCCAGACATTTGAGGAAGGGGATCGAGAAGAAGGCTATGGCACAACCTATGTTCAAAATAGTGTGTTACCCCAGGCCCTGAAGAAGAGAGAGATGAAAGAGGGCATCCTGGCTGAAGTCAGAAAAGAGTCCATCTTTATTTCAAGTGATCAGGAAGCAAGACATGCAGCTCCTTCCACCCAGAGAACCTCTGATGATGATGTGAGTGGCGACTGTCACTGGGATTATGTCCTCAGCTGGGAACCCAGATTCCTGCCTCTTGCCTCAGTATTTAGTGATATTGCAAAACTAAAGGATGAACATTTACATATGCCTAGCATTCCAAAAGAGAAAAAATCTTTTGTTTTTCCACCACCTTTGATAACAGCTGTAGCCCAACCTGGGATTAAAGCAGTGCCTCCAAGAATGCCAGCCACAACCCCAGGCCAGCTGCTTCAGAAACACCCACACTCCCCCCTCCCCTACCGTGTCAGTTCTCTGTCAGAAGCCATGACTCCCAGTTTTTCCCCATCTCTTTCCCTACTGACCACCCAGACCCCTGCTGTGCCTCCACTGTTGGCAGATGGAGAGTTATTAGACACACATCTAAGTGGTACATGCTATGAATTCAACGCAGAAGATGAAGCTCAGATATAAAATGATCGTGATGTCAAGCCCCTGCTCACCACTGGTCACAAATGATTGAGCAAAACATTGTTGAGCAAGCTCCTGGAAAGTAGCTTCATTTTACCTATGAGTAAGTGATATTATTTAGTCAGGGTTTTTAGAACCTCCTCACTTTAGTTTCTCAAATTTCTTCCAGCCAGCCTGAATGAGAAGTTACCCCCTCTTTTAACCTCTATGTTTTGCTCTCAGGACTCAAGTTTGTATATAGTAAGTAGTGTATAGTCTATCATACCTGGTTTTCTGTATGAGTAGGTTTCCAAAGGACACAGTGAACTTGGCTGACTGCCAAAATGTTTTTATGAAACTAAATGGGAATACAGTGCAGTCTCGTCACACTACTGCTGGTTAGGCAGCTGTAGCTAAAGCAAACTCGCGCAGTCTAAGGCGTGAGCAGAGGACAGAAAACAACTGAGAGGAGAAATTCAGAAGGATAAACTTAAGTTTTCAACTGCAGTGGTTTTCTATAGATTTGATATATTTACAGATGCATTTCTCCACTTTTCCTCTATGCCACACTTATGGAAGTTAGTGGTAAGTTTAACTTCATCGTGCCTTTTGGAAATCTAATGAGAAATTAAAAATGAAATTTGTCATAACTCTGTGCAAAATAAGAAAACAGTTCCTGATTAAATGAACCAGAAGTATCTGTTTTTGACAATGGACCAGAATTTGATAAAAGCAGTCAGTAAGGTTGGCTTCCTCAGGTGTGTTTCCTTGGCCTTCTTTACAAATAGAATGATGATTTTTATTTTCAATGCTCTGTCTTGTAACATGGTACGGGTACAGACATTAAACTTTGAAGATTTTAATCTACATTAAAATTTGTAGATATTTCTTCATTTTATTTTCTTTTAGATACAGCAATTTTGGCAAGAAATAATTTATCCACTCAGTGTCAGTTTTAAAAGTGAGTATAGATAAAATTATGTTATTAGCTAATAATAAATTTCATAGAGTACCTTAGCCATATATTTTTAATGAAGATTTTTTATATAAATGTTTCTACTCTAAAAGTTAAGAGTGGATGTCTGAAGTCCTTCTTCCATTTGTTCACACATTTAGCTTTGATTGTCATTAGATGGAGCAGTTTGACAACATGGTTAAAATAATTGTTCAGCACAGCTACTGTTTCAGAAATAATAGTGGTGTGTGGTACTCACGCATAATGGTATATCCTTCTCTCTGATGAACCTAAGAATCCATCAAAGATTCTTGTCCCTTCCAGGAAAGCAGAGGACTTTCCTATGATGATGGTCCAGCAGCTGCCCATGGTTGGCAACATGGCCAGGCTTGCAAATAAGAGTTTAGGGTATTAATGGCAATCTAGAGGGCATCTGATATGGTTTTCTTAGTAGTTGATGTGGGCTTCTGCTATAGAAATATTTCCTTTATTTTTCTCACTAGGCCTCATCTGTAAAATTATGTGAGATAGCTAATTTTTCTTTACTGAGAAACATCACAGGATGCCGTGCTTAATGGCTAGTTTTGTTGATAAATAATTCTAAGACTTCCTTTGCTGATTTCATCATTTACATATCTTTGCTAACTTCTAAATTGAGAACAAGTGTAAAAAACCACATCAGAAATTGTATGAAACATGAAAGGTCTTGGACAAGCCTGGAATCCTAGGGAAAGTCATTTAGGCATGAAACACTTAAATATTAAAGAATGAATGCATGTCTCTCCTTTTTCTTCATGGCATTGGGGAAGAAAATTTCATGGTTTTTCTAAAAAAAAAATAACCATTTAATCATTTCAGTGTTCCAGTATTTATTCTCTCTTTGACTTCCTTCAAAAGATTACTTTGAGCATATGAAGAAATTCTACACTGATTTTTTTCTAGTTATATATGGAAGTTGTGTTTTGCAACAGGCTAGTTTCTAGGAACCGAGAACATTTTGGTGTTTTTAATTAAGCAGGTTCTTTATTTCCTTATGCTTAAAAAGAGTTATCCATCTAACTCTTCCCTAAGTTATTTGCTTATGATTTAGTACTCATTCTGGACATGATTCTGCATTTTTTCTGGACATTTAATAAAAAAAGAAGACATGAAGTATTTAGCACTATTCCTTACCAACATCTCGTGTATTTTCAATTGATGACTTTATTTATACAATATCCAGGGCCCCACCATCACCAAACAACTGCTGCAAGTACGGTTGAGATTAAAAATGTGAGCATTCTGGTTGTTTGCAATAAATCATATGTCAGCCCTTTCAACTAGAGTGCTTTTTCCTAAGTAAACAATGTAATTTGTACAGTTTTCCTTCAAGTTTAATATTAACTTGCCTCATATGTTCTGTGTTATTTTGCTGATCTACACACCAGCTTTAGCACTCTGGAGGGGGTGCAGAACTTGTTAGTGGAAAATCATATTAAGCCCCAAATTCATAAGCTATAAAATAAAAGACAGTTGTCTCTTGCAGAATTTTGGCTGCCTGAAATTCTGGACTTTCTTGTTGGCAGCCTTCGAAATACTGGTGTAAATCAGTACCAAATGGATATCAAAATTCCATGTCCTCGTAGTAATCATTGAATTGGCTTCCAAAATAGATTCCTAGACAAAGAAAGGGGAATATGCTATATCTTTAGGGATTTGATCATTTAACTGTTCTTTAAAATTACTAAAATACACTATCAACTACTGGTAGCCTACGTGTATAGCACGGGTCTATAGTGGACGTCCCGTTGAGACAGGAGTGGTGTTGCTCAGTGTTTAGTCTCAATTTCTGGGCCCTCTTTGCTTTGTTTTCCAGAAGTTATAGTGATGAAAATGCATTACTGATTTCAATTTTTTTTCCATCCAAACATATTTTGTTACTTTTGTTTTGTTTTGTTTTGCCTTGACTTTAAGTAAAATACCTTAACTTTAAGTGAAAAAAAACAAGACATAACAAGAGGATCTCAGATGATCCTTTTCAAAGCCATGGTGTATATGGAGTGAACGTGATCAGTGGATTCGCACATGATATTGTGGACAGGCACCTTGGGTTTATTTGCACAGTGTGTTTTCGTTGAGCTCAAAAGTGTGGAGCCGTCTGTTGGATGGTAACTGAGGGGAGTTAGTGTGGGAAATCATTCTAACCCGAGAGGGTTACTTGGATCAGTGAAGTTGTAGAAATTTTGCTGCTGGTCAAAACTGGACATTCCAGTGTGAGTCCCTGAAGGCAGCTTTTGCCCGTTGTAGAGATGGAGGGAGAGAAGAAGGGAAGGAGAGAAAGGATGAAGGACAGAAGAGGAGATAAAGGATTAGATCGAAAAGGAATAATTTAGGGTACATATAGAGAAACACAACAAAGCAACAGAATAAGAACTTGTAAAAAATAATTTTTTAGTGTGAAGATTTTGCTGCATCATTTACTCTTCATAGATTCAGCCTGTTGAGGAGTCTCTTTTCTCTTTTTTGAGAAATCCCTTTTCCTCTTCCTTTCTGCTCCTTTCAAGTGTATCCATTTCCAACTTTTCAAGTTGGAACATTTGGGTGTATCAAGTGGTGAACCCAAAGCTAAGTGACAATAAATGAAAATACATTTGACCATGAAAACTTGAATTTGTGGTATTTTTAGTTTTGCTGATTTATAGAATAAAACATTTCAAATGGTTACCTTACCTTATTTCCCACTCTACATAACTTTGGCATTGAGAGTACCAAAATTTTAAGTAGGTGATTTTACATATATACCAGGTAATGGAGGTTCAGAAGGCTGTTGGGACAGAATATGGGATTTTAGTGCCTAGGTTTTTTATCCCAATGGCTCATCCTTTTTAAAAATGAGCACTTGCTTGATACTTGTGATTTTATATTAAAATATCAGATTGTATATAACATTAAACCACAATATAACATACAGGCATGGTCAATAATTTGTTCTCAAATATTGTCAATTTTATTTGAATTTTGGTGATAAATTATTTTGATTTACTAGATCAAAGAAGTTTGTCTATTAGAAATAAAATTATGGCAACCTTAGAAGGACCCAGCCCAAAGTAGCTGGGGTATCAAACTATAGCTTTCTCTTATAAACTTGGCACTTGGCTATTTAACGACAGTTTAGCACTTCCTACTGTTTTTCTGTCTACATGATTTTCCTCATTTCACCCAAAATATTTGCTAAACCAAAACTGTGAAGTGAGTAATAGAGATGGAAAAAGCATACCAAATAAATAGCAGATGCACAAGTGCATCTCCTGAATGAGGAAGCATTATTTTGGTTAGAAAACTAAATACATGGATTTCATTGTTAGATAGTAAACCCTCAGGGCAAATGCCTGGTCTCCACTTGCATTATGAAATACAGATGTTTCTTAGAATGAATGAATACATATGTAAATGGGCACAGAAGTTGCTGTAATGTAGGAGTGTGATGCATAGGTATTGAACCCATTAGGTGTGAATTTTAGCATAGTTCTGTGTTTTAGCCAATCACAGGGCAGAGAGAAAATAAGTACAAAGATCCCATCAAAATATTATTGAATATCTTAAAGTCAAGTAACTAGAAATTCCTTTTGCAATCTGGTTTGTTTTCTCTTTCCCGCTTCCTCACTGTGTACATACATTTCTTTTGAGTTTTAGACATAATAGAAACAAGATATAAATGACATTTAAAAGCATATTGTTTGAAACAGTGACATTACATGACCAAGCACATTGGTTTAATTTAATTTCAGATCCTGTAATAGTTATAACTGCCCTATGGCTAGCAGGATAAAGTTCTATCAGTATGAGAAGAGAATAGACTCAGTAGACATGCCTAAAATGTTTACACCAAAACTCATTAAAATTTAAAGTAAAAAGAATATGAGGAATTTGTGAAGGATATTGTATATGTGCATATGCTGAGTATTTGTTAAAGTGATATTTTAAACAAGTACAGATTTTTTAATAAATGCATACTGGGAAATTCAGTGGTGGTGGTAAATATGAGGTTATTTCTTCTCATGCCATAAACAAAAGTGAATTCTAGCTGGGTTAATGAGTAAAAGTTAAAATGAAACCATAAGAACTGGAAGAAAAGCATGGAATAAAGGTCAGTAAGAACTTTTTAAATATAAAAGTAAAGGTAGAGTGATACATTTGACCTTATGACAATACAATGTACTGTAACAACTTGCAAGAAATGATAATTGGGAAATACTTCACAGATTTGATCAATAGATATTTATTTAGTATGCATTGTGAACAAGGCTTGGATCTGGGCTCTGGAGATTCAGGAGTGAATAGAATCGATTGAAGAACAGAGCATTTACAGCACTTACATTTTATTAAGGGAGATAGCAATAAAAATATGCTCTCAAGTAATGGTAAGAAACTTAAGACAAATATAAAGAAAAACAATATCGACAAGGTTGTGGGAGAATACGGCAGTCCTATTTTGATTAAATATTCAGGGAGGTGTCTTTGAAACGATGCTGAATGAAATGAATGAACCATGAAAAAATCTGAGGGGAAAGGGTTGAAAGTATGTGTGTCAGTAACTACAGAGGTCCTGAGGTAAGAGCCACTTGGAGTGTTTGAGAAACTATAAAGCCAGCGTGGCTTGCTGGGAGAAGAAGAATTATAGGAAATAAGATCACAGAGGTAACTAGGGTTCAGATTCCATAGGGCTTTGTAGGCTATGGTAAAAAGTTTCAGTTTTTGTTCCAGGTGTTATGGGAAGTCATTGGTGGGATTTGCCCAGAGATCATTTGCCCAGAGATATAAACCTATCTGATTTATATGTTTAAAGAGTAATCGGCTACCTTGTGGGAAATAGACAATGGTAAAAGGGGAAGTCAGTGCAGTAAAAGTGCTCCAGTTAATTGGATATTTCAGTACTCTCAGCTGGTAATGACTGTAGCTCAGCCAGAGTGTTATAGGTGGAGTTGAACAGAGTGAAGATATATATATATTAGAGTTAGTGTAGCTAGTTCTTGATAATGAATTGGAGGTGGGGTGTGGAGAAAGTTAGACAGTAATCTAGGGTTTAAGAGATAGTTTGGGCTATAGAAAAATTTGAAGTCATCAGATTATGAATAGTATTAAAAACCATGGGATTGGATGGTATCATTTGAGGAGTAAATGTAAACAGAGAAAAGATCCAGAACTGACACCTGGGACACTGACCAAGAGGTCAAAAAGGGTAAGAAGAGCCAGCAAATAATTTTGAGAAAAAAAAGAAAAAAACTAATGAGGTAGGATAGGAAAGCAGGATAGTCTGGTAGCCCAAAAGCCAAGTAGAGAAAGTGGGTTAGATTCTAGTTGGGGCAAGATAACACCAGTGTTTTTAAATCTTCCCAAATCACCTTGCAAAACAGAACACCTAAAGGCAGTGAAAGTAAAAATTCATAGACATCTTCAACAATGAAATCATTCCTACAAATTCTAGAATATGAGTAGCAAGCAAAAAGCACAAACTATTGGCAGTAACAAAAAGTAGAAGGGTAGAATTTGGAATTTTCTTTGAGCCAGAAAACAAGGAATTGCCAATAATTATTGACCAGCTGAAGGAAATATCTATACTTGGAGGGAAAACATAGCAGACTGCTCTGAGAATAACTGTCAAACTGGGGAAGGCTACAGAGCACCCACTTTGTAGATGAGTGTAGACAGACTGCAGTGAAATTAGATTATGCCGGTTCATCCAAGGCCCCAGAGCTTCTAGAAATACACAAGCAAAATTGCCTTCTAGAAGAACAGAAATCCACACTACATAAAGCCCACTGAAAGTAGAATTCAAATTTATATGACTAGTAAAGGGGAAGAAGTCCTATATACAAAGGGGGAAAGGGGAAAGCAGAAGATAGAAAGAAGTCCTATTTATAAATACTTTGCAGAAACAAGAGAAGAGGGAGCTCTAGAGCCATGAATTAGGAAAGCTATTCAGATCTGTGACCACCCCATATGGTAACTTCCCAAAATATAGTAAAACCCACCTAATATTACATGAGCAACGTAAAATAATCACAATATAAAAGATAATCAAAAGGACTGACTGTCTGAATGATGTGCCAATATAGTGAAGGCACACTGAAAATATATAAAATGGTAAAAGAAATTGTGACTTAATATTTCAAAACTAGCTAAAGGAAACTAAGAAAACAATAAAAACTGCAAAGGTTGCATAACCAATCAGCAAAGTTCAGAGATGAAAAAAACCAAGAGGTAGATATTAAAAGAAAGACAGATCTCAATGGAAAACTATTAATAAAAAAGTCAAAAGACCAAACTAGAAGGAATAAAAAGTTACTAAGGCATCAATGAGACTATAGCAAGAGAAATAGAAAATGGACAATGTAAGATGAAAAAAAATCTAATAGAATTGAAAAAATTAAAAAAAAGAATTTTAGGGATGATAGGTTTACCAGACTAGAAAAAAATGATACAAGGCATGTATAAATGTACCTCTTAAAGAAGAAAACCAAAGAAGTGAATCAGAACAAATATAAAAAACATAAAACAATTTGAATCTACATATTGGAAAGGTATACTATGTACAAATCAACCCAGAGAAGTTAATACCAATATACATTTTTTTAAATCTATTGAGTTTAAAGAAAAAGAATATATCCTTTGAGTTTCCAGATAAAAAAAAAAAGTTACTTACAAGGTAAAGAATGTAAGATTGGTTTACCCTTCAACACCAGTATTTTAAGCCAAAAACCATAGATAATATATTTAAGATACCTGAAGATAGTATAAGCCAAAACTTTATATCTAGCTAACCTAACCTTTCAATCTATTTGTTACTAAGTAAATTTACAGATTTAACCTGATCCCAATGCAGTATTATATTTTTATGGAGTTAAGTTTATTATACAGTTTATTTGAAAGAATATACAAGAAAGCAAACAAAAATAACTAGGAAACAGTGGGATAATATGGGCTGTTTTTGTATGTATGTCTATCTGTGTGTGTATGTGTGTGCAAGCATGAACACATGCACTAACTCTACCAGATATTAAATATAAAACTCTCTATAATTAAAATGTGGTGCTATTGATATATGACTAGACAGACCAATAGAACAGAATAGACATTCCAGAATTGAATCCAAGTGCATGCAAAGCTTTCCTATAATGAAGAATTCACTTATTTTATACCAACTCTCCTGCTGATAATAAGTGGAGAGCTGATTAGGAATAAGAAGGAGAAGGAGAAAAAGAAACAGTTTTGTGCATGTATATGTCTGAGAAGCATAGAGAACTACAAAGGCAGTGATGACCCTGGAGGAAACAGAAGCACAGAGAGATACTTTATACACTGTGCATCTAACCCCCTTGAGGACTGCATGTCAACTGCAGGGTTAAGAAGCTAAAAAGAGCTACTGACAGTCTCACAGGGATAAAAATTAGAGTTAAAGGCTTACCACAGAGGAGAGAATCTGGTAAATAGACCAGTCTACAAACTGGAACTCCCAGAAAGCAAACCCCAGGAGTAAGGGTAAACCAGAAAAGACAAGCCTTCACAAAGTCTGTGGCCAAGCTCTGAATAAAAATCAATTACATCGTTGAATGTGGTGATCTTCCCTATTCTACATGCTTGCCAAAAATAATATTTAATTCTTTATAGGGAAATCAATCATTCAGAACCCTTGCAATTACTCATAAAAATAGCAAGCATTGAATCCAAAATGGGTAGGTGTACTGAGAAAAAGACCACATGACTAAAGCTAAAAGAAAGAAAAATGTAATAGACACATGGGGGATCTTTATATATTGGCATTATCTTATGTGGACTTTTAAATAACTGTTGAAGAAATTAGATGCCATATGAAGAACTTCAAGAGAGAACTGACCTATAGAAAACTATAAACTATAAAAACTTTTAAACTATTAAAAAAATGAAAAGGAAATTCTAAACTATAAAATACAGCTACCACTTCACACCCTCAAGGATGGCTATAATAAAAAATGCAGATAGTAGCAAGTGGTGAATATATGGAAAACTGGAATTCTCATACATTGCTCATGGGAATATAAAACAGGACAGACTATGTAGAAAACAGTCCAGGAGTTCCTCAAAAAGGTAAGGATACATAGAGTTACCATAACTATCCAATAATCCCACATGTAGGTATACACTCAAGAGAAATGAAGTTACATTCATACAAAAACTGTTCCCTGAATAGTCGTAGCAACATTATTCATAATAGCCAAAGGTAGAAATAAACCAAATATAAATTAACTGATAAATTGATAAACCAAATGTATATCCACACAATGGAATTATTTTTTGCTTTTGTATATATTGTGGTTACTACATTCACCCTTATTATTGAGTCCCCCCCATACCCCATTGCAGTTACTGTCCATCAGTGTAATAAGATGCCACAGAGTCCCTACTTGTCTCTCTGTGCTACGTTGTCTTCCCAGTCACACAATGGAATATTATTCAGAAATTAAGTATTAATGCATGCTATAACACAGATGAATCTGAAAACATTTTCTGAGTGAAAGGATTCATTCACAAAAGACCACAAATTGTATGACTCTGTTTATATGAAATGTTTAGAACAGGGAAATACATAGAGACAGAAAGCAGATTAGCGGGGCCTAAGGCTTAGAGTGTCAGCAGAAGATGGGGACTGACTGCTAATGCTTTTGGGTGCAGTCATGAAAATGTTCTAAATTTGATTGTGGTGATGGTTGTAAACTATGAATATATAAAAACCATTGAACTGTACATTTTAATGGGTGAATTGTATAGTACATGAATTATATCAATAAAATTGTCAAGAAATACAATAATTGAAATAAAGAACTCAGTAAGTATGTTTAACAGATTAGACACAGATGGAAATAAGATTAGTAAATTAGAAATTGAATCAAAAGAAAAAATATGGACTAAAACATAGATGTTTGGAAAACACTAAAAAGAGTAAGAAATGTATAGAACATGGCTTAAAAGACCTAACATAGGTGAAAGTGGAATCTCAAAAGGAGAATGGAAAGACTAGGTCAGAAGCAATATTTGAAGAGATTCTGGCTGAGAATCTTCCAAAACTGACATTAAATCACAATTCAAAATGTGCCACAAACAGTAAGCATGAAAAAGAAAAAGAAAACTGACCACCCACATCACAGTAAAATTTCCATAAAACAAAAAGGAAAATACTTAAAATATTCAAAGATAAAGGCCACATTATCTTCAAAGAACTGAGTGCATGTGGAAATATATGATAAAGGCAGCGCATCAAATTGGTGAAGAAAGGAAGAATTTTTTTTTAATAAATGGACTTGAGATAACTAGAGAGCCATGTGGAAAAAAGATTAAACTGATCTTTTCTTTACAGTACATACTAGAATAAGCCATGCAAATAAACACAAGTAAATTTTAGAAGAAAACTTGAGTGTATATGTTTAAACTAGAAATGGAAAAAATATCCAAGAGTCAAAATCCAGAAGCAATAATGGAACTGGGTGATAAATTTGACTAAAAAACATTGTGCATGGCAAAATCTTCTCTAAAGCATTTCCAGTGTCCTGGGGGATGGGTTCCCTGGCCCCATGTTCAACCTTGGGGTAGAAGAGGCAGGGCCACGTGACTGGTAAGCACCTGATGCAGAAAAGTCAGCTCCTGAAATGAACAGATGTCTATCACCATAACACCATCAAGTAGATGCTGTTTTTCACATTGTGTGTTGATTTATAAAACTAATATGTAAATACACATTATTGGCTAAACCACGGATTTACCAGTGTTAAGTGCTATTTCACAGAACAGAGTTTACTTGTATTCTAGGCACAAGGTTAATGTTAGTATGTTAGTTAATATTAGCAAAATATTCTAAGAAGGTAAAATGTTAGTAACTGAATCATTATTTGGTGTTTAAAGGTAGAATTTTATTTCTCATTTTTAATTACCTTATTTCCTTTCCTGTCATTTCTAATCCATCATTCATTTTTCTCTTCTAATGTAATGTACATCATTTGTCTATTGTTGGAATAGTAAAGTATTGCTCAACAATGTGACAATACTCATTGGATTTTGATTATTTTATAAGGTTTTACTTTTTCTAACTTACTTTATTTAAAAATAAAGTTTCTATTTCTTATCTCAAAACTCTGAGAAACTCCTATACCATAATAATTGCCAAAAGCTTATGTGCTTAATTTTATGAAGTGGACAATTTGAAAGTAATGAAAATAAAAGATTCCGAGTATTGTCAGATTTTATGTCATATGAAAGGGATATATTAACCTTTGTGAACTTAAATAAATAATAGCTAAAATATATTGCATTCATCATATGACAAATATTGTGCTAAATGTTTTATGTGTACTATATTTTGTTAATCTTTAAAATAACCTTTTTGGGTAGATACATGGTCCCTTTTTACTGATAAAGAACCCTGGCTTAAAGAGCTAGTATTGGTGGAGCTGGGATCCAATTCAGCGATGTTACTAGAAGCTCTTCATTTAACCCTCTCACTACATTGCCTCACACTTGAAAGTTCCTTAAGAATGTATAAGGTTTTTGTTAATTGTAAACTTCTATTGGCATCATTTAAAAAATCCTTTAGTTTGTGCAGATCATGTTCAACAAGTGACAAACAAGCCTAATGGTAACTAAATGGTAGTTTTCATTGTGTTGGTATATGTGGCCATAAGCAATTCATAATCTAGAGATTCTTTTACAGACATAATAAGTATAATTTTTCTTACATACAAAGAAAATTATTTTAAAAATACAACCAATAATATTTCTGGCCAAAAAGGCTCTGAAAGTTTGCGCATTGCTTAGGTCTGCACTGCAAATGAAGAGCAGCAAGGGATAACATCTTTTAAGAAAAACAAAAATGAAAAAGCTTCAAACACAAGATAATCATCTCAAAGGCAATATCTAGTAAAGTTGAACTTATTTTATCCTACAAGCTGGTTAATTACATTTCTAGGTATATATGCTAGAGAAAAATCTCCCAAGATATTGAACAAGAATAAAATATAAACTCAATGCAGTATACATAGCTAAAGAAACCTAGGGCTTGCTCTACTCCAGAAAGTAAGTGTTGCTAGACGTGGACACGCGGGAAAGTGCCAAAAGGCTCTAGGCAAGATGAGAAACGTAACTAGGCCAAGTGCTTAAAGTCAGGAGCTGAGCAAGGCTGCTGAGCTCCCTCCCCCTAAAAAAGGATGGACAAGGATAGGTTGCTGATCACCTGGGACTGGCTGTTAGTAAACTGGGGAACTTGAGAACCTGAAAGTAAACAAATCTCATGATTCAGAACTAAACCCATCTGCCCAAGACTCAGTGATTATTCTACAATAACCCAATATTGGGTTGATAATTCTCTATGAATTCATCTATGAATCAAATGCAGTTCAATCAAAAGGCCAATATGAAATTTTCATAGAATTGGACAATGCTATTTAAAAATTCATACAGAAAAGACCCAAGAATAATGGAGGCAGCATTGAAGAAAAAGAAAGGATGGGAAAGGAGGAGCCACTTTTCCTACCAGATATGAAAAGATGGAATAGATTGTATGGAAATCTCATATGAAGATGGGGTACTAAATAGGAAAAGGGTGTTTAATTTAATAAATGGTGCTGAATTAATCAGTGATTTGTATAAAAAAATTAAATTGAACCTCTTCCTCACAAATACAAAATAAAAGTGAAAAAACTTCTAAGCTTTGGAAAAAAATAGAATATGAATTTAGAATAAGAAAGACTCATTAAACAAGATACAAAAACACACAAACACTAAAGAAAAGATTGATAATACAAATTACTTTAAAATTAAGAATGAATATTGAAATGAACACACCATATAAGCAACATGAACAAAAGAATTCATAACCTAGAAAAAGGCATTTACATTATACATCATGAAAAAAGGCTTAATACCCATAGTTTATAACATTAGTAAGAAAGTGATAGCTTACTAGAAGGATGGACAAGGGAAGTTACAGGAAAGGAAGCTTGTATGGTCAAAAATATATGTGCTCAGTGAGGTATGCTACAAAATACCTATCAGATTGGGAAAAATATAAAAATTTGACAATATAAAAGTTGACAAGATTGTAGAGAATTCAGAACTTTCATATGATACTTATGGGAAGTTCATATTTTTCAGATATTTAGTTGTTACAACCATCATGGAGAGCAATTTGGTAATATTTAGTATATTTGGAGATATTCCCTCTGACAACCTACTTCATTTCATTTCTAACTACACACTCAAGAGACAATCTCCCTTATGCACATAAAAAAAAACATGTACAATAATGCTTATTACAATACTGTGTTTCTAAAAGCAAAAACTGGAAACAGTATAATTGTCTTCAAAAGGAGTATTGATAAATATTTGTGATATATTCATAATGCCATACAGTAAACTGAATGGAGCTAGAGCTATTTGTATCAATATGGGTAAATCTTCAAAATATTATATTGCAGAGTAACATACCATGTGCCATTTACACAAAGTTTAAAACATGTAAAACACAGCTATATAAGTTCTTTATCGAAATATGCATATGTAGTTTACATGTAACATGAATATAAATAGATGCTTAGGCAAATAAATGCGCAGTAGTGCTTACCATTGGGAAGAGAGGAAGGAGCATAAGACCCTCAAATGTGTTTGTAGTATTTTATAACTTTTTAAATGCTGGCAAAATATTAAACTTTCACAGAGCTGAGTGAATTAATTAGATTTTAAAAATTAAAAATATATAGTACTGATTACAAATAGCAGTATCACCTAAGAGCATTTTACTTAAAAAATTTGGATTCATCTAAGTTCACACTTACACTTCTAACCTTGGAAAACTGATTTGTCTTCTAAAGGAGAGTGCTTTCCCCATGCAAACTGTGACAACAAATCGAAGCATTCAAGTGCTGTGGAAAATTTTTTAGGCAGTATGCTTTAATCAGCATCTTCTGCCAATGATTTTTCTTTTCTTTCACATTACAAACAATGCCAGTGAAGTGAATGCAATCATGTAACTGCAAAACATTACCAGGGGTGAACCACAGAACCTGAGAACCGACGGGGTTTTTTAATACACATTTTAATTTAGAGCAAAAGACTCCCTTGTTTCTGTGATGAATGTGATGTGGCATATTCTGATTGGCAAGTGACCCATAGAAAGCACCCAGGGAATAATCATGTCACAGTCCAACTTCATAATGAAGTGTAGTTTTGTTTGTGGCCTTAATTGCATGTGTTGGAAGCTGGGTCCTTGATTTCCCAACCATGT